AATTGAAATCTGATCTGTCTCCTTGACAAACCCTGCAGTTCACAATACACTTTCCTTAGTTTACTAAGTGGTGTATACCTCTTAATTTTAAACTGGACCGTAGAAGCATCCTGCCCAACTACCTTCAAATTAATGATTGCTGTTTTCAATCTTGACTCCTTTGGGTTTTTCATCTGCCATGGCTAGCTCCAGGGACTCCTCAGCTGCCACTTTGCAAAGGAGGTACCAGGTCTGCATCCCCAAGGAGCATACGAACAGTATCAGATGCAGCAGCTGCTTCTGGCTTTTAAGCTTCGCTCCTCCTTCTTCCTTATGTGCCCCACGTCTGGACAAACTCAAGTGTTCCCTCCTTTGGCACTTGGAGGAAATTTAAATAACAGTAAGCTTCTGCCGTAAAAACTCCATGCCAATTTCTTGTCTTTCCCCTTGCAAACCATTTGCAGACTTTCTTGGGAAGCCTGCCCCAGTTTTCCCTACAAAGATTCTTTGTGTGAATAATTAAACTTTTCATACTTTTCTTGTTGTGCATGTGTGTATGTGATGGGGGTCATAAATTTCAACATTCCAACCAAATTTTGGGTTGGGGGTCCATCTTGTACCTGCAGATTGGCAACCATAGGTAGGATAGGTACCACTGTCTTTTTTTCACAAATGATATGATCATCTATGTAGAATATTCAATGAAACTTCAAAAGCTCTAGTAGAAATAGCAATAGTGATTTAGCAAGTTAACAGGCTGAAGGATCAAAATACAAAAAACAATTTTATTTTTATATACTCATAATGAACAATTGAAAATTGAAATAAAAAAATACCGTTTACAATAGCATTGAACTCTGAAATACACAGGGCTAAATCTGGCAAAAGATTTTATTACCTATACATTAAAAACTATAAAATACTGCTGAGAGAAATAAAAAATTTAAATAAATGGAGATATATAGTGTTCATGGGTCATGATTCACCATTTAAAAATGTTAGTTCTCCCCAAATTGATCTATATACTCAATCAAAACACCAGATAAATGTTTGTTTTTGGGGGGGTGTTAAAAATTGATAAATTCCTTCTAAAATTTTTCTAGGTGTTTATCCAAAAGGAATTAAAATTTGGTTCATGCAAAAAACTGTACATGAATGTATATGGTAACTTTAATTATAAGCCAAAAATTGGAAACTTGCCCATGTGTGCTTTAATGAGTGAATGGCTAAACAAACTGTGACACATTCACGTGAAATAAAAAGGACTTAATTAGCCTGGCTGGTGTAGCTCAGTGGATTGAGTGTGGGCTGCTAAACCAAAGGGTCTCCAGTTTGATTTCAAATCAGGGCATATGCCTGGGATGCAGGCCAGGTCCCCAGTGGAGGCCACGTGAGAGGCAACCACACACTGATGTTTCTCTCTCTCTCTCCTTCTCCCCTCCCCCCTCCCTAAAAGTAAATAAATAAAATCTTTAGAAAAAGGAATTAATTATACATGTACAACATGTATGAATCTTCAGGGAATTATGCTGAGTGAAAAAACTAATACTAAAATTAAATACTCTTTGATTTGATTTACATAATATTCTTGAAAGGTAAAATTATAGAGATGGAGAACAGATTAGAATTGCCAGGCCTTACAGAGAGTGTTGTGGGGGAGTGAGGAGAGAAGTGTGTATGCCTCTAAAAGAACAACATAAAGAATCTTTGTGATAATGGAAATATTTTAAGTCTTGACTGTATTAATATTAATACCCAGCTTGTGATACTGTATATAGTTTTGTAAGTTATCATTGGGGGGAAAATGGTAAAGTGTACATGGGATCTCTGAATTATTTCTTACAACTGCATGAAAATCTAGTATTACCTCAAAATAAAAAGTTAAGTTAAAAAAAAAGCTAGGCCAAAAGGAAAACAAATTCTAAAATGGTAGACCAAAAACCCAACTATGTTAAATGTAAATGCACAAAATATGTCAAATTTTAAAAAGTTGTCATTATTTTAAAAAATTATGCATTTAATAAGAGACACTTTACAAAATAAAACAGTGCCTGGCTGTTGTGGCTTAGTGGGTTGAGTGCCTGCCTGTGAACTGAAATGCCATTGGTTTAATTCCCAGTCAGGGCCCATGCCTGAGATGCCAGGCAGGTCCCCGGTTGGGGTGAGAGAAAGGCAGCTGATTGATGTTTCTCTCACACATTGATGCTGCTCTCTCTCTGTTTCTCCCTTCCTTCTCCACTCTCTAGAAATAAATAAATAAAATATTTAAAAAATAAAAATAATAAATAATAAAATAGAAAGATTAAAATTAAAAGGTAGAAAGAAATAAAACATGCACTAGCCAAAAGAGAGGAATGTGAAGCTATACTACCAGAATAGACTAAGAATAAAAGCGGTATTATAAATAAAATGTAGATTCCATAATTTCCTGTTGGATCAATCCAACGGGAAGCTATTACAACTCTAAAAATTTAGATTTTTAGAGAGCTTCAAAACATATAAAGCAAAGCTTAACAGGAATAAACAGAGAAAGAGACCATTTTACAAGTATAAAAAATGAAATCAGGAAGCTGGAGGGATATAGAACCAACTCTGCCCTTTTCCCATCTGTTAACCAAACAATTACAAAAAAAACAATTTTAATAGTAAACAGAAAAAAATTGATAGGGGACTCACGAGTTGGAAAATTTTAGTTTAAGGGAAATAGCTAATAAGCCTAGTATGTAATGCATATTGTTTCAGGATCTGCAGGCATGGCTCACCACTCCCAGGAGAGACAGCCAACCTCCTGGGGCACAGCTAAATGCCACTGACTGGGGCACAGCTGGAGATGTCCCAGAGATTGGGTTCCAGAAAGAGAGAGACACCACCTGCCTGCCGGGGGACAGCTAACTGTCCAGGGCAAGAATGCTGCAATTTTTAAATCTAATTTTCCCTGAATTTCCAAACCCCCCACTGCACTTTGTATATTCTCTATTTTAAGGGACACATGGACAAAACCAAAGGGGGTAGGTTTGAGGGTGGGAGAAGGGGATGGGTGGGGGTGGGGGGCATGGTGGAGTGAAAATGGAGACAACTGTATTGAACAACAATTAAAAAAAAGACCAACAACTAAAAAAAAAAGGCTTGCTTGAAGGAAAATGTAAGATGGTTAATTAGGGTATGAACCCACTGTCTTCTCAGATTGCCAGTCATCTGAATAAAGTGCCCATAAAGACTCAATCCCTGTCTCTGCTTATTGGGTTTGGTATGTGACAGGTAGCACAAACACCAGCTTTTCTGATTTCAAAACTACTGTTGGTAAAGACATGGGACAAATAAGCAAAACTTATTTGGAGGACTGTTCTCCATACACAGTGTTTGACTGGGAATCCCTTGTCCCTTCCCAGACATAGTTTCACACTGAAACAGTGCCATTCATCATCCACTGAAAGGAAGGCTATCTGCTACTGCATCATAGGGATAACATAGTCCTTTGGGCTTTGTGTAGCTGGGAGGTAAGTTTATGGGCCAGAAGCCCCTGATGCCTTCAAGGACTACAAGTTCCTGATATTAAGTATGCTGTAGTTTCCAATATTTTGTTCACTTTGTCAACATATCATGATACAAAAAGGTGGGCTAATGTTTTCATAGATATTCTCTCCGTTTTAGTGTCTACTTCAACATTATTCCAGTGAGTCTTCAACTTTCATTGTCAATTATTTGTTAATTCTTCTGAAGTCAGAGTGGGACCCATCCAAAACGCTGAGAAAAGAATCAGGTTGTTTGGGCAGGAGTGACATAAGTAACATAGTATAAAAAAGCATGGATGTTTCATGAACACAGACTCACAAGTCTCTATAATTTCTCCCATTTAATATTTTGGTGATTCTGGTTTATCGACTTACCCTTATTGGTAATATTGTAACAGAGGCCAGTCAGAAGCACAAAGATTTTGTTCATCTGCTAGCACTCCACAGTGTTCAGCCTTTCTGGACTGCCACAGTAAGTCCCTGGCAGGTGCAACCAACTCCAAGCTCTCAGGGCGGGTGCTGTAACCAGCTGGAGCAGCCCCCCAGTTATACATCATGCGTCAAAGTTATGCATACCCTCCTAGCTGCCATAGCTCAGTGGATTGAGCGGGGGCTGCGAACCAAAGCGTCGCAGGTTCGATTCCCAGTCAGGGCACATGCCTGGGTCGCAGGCCATATTCCCCAGCAGCCGCACATTCATGGTTCTCACTCTCCTCTCTCTCTCTCTCTCTCTCTCTCTCTCTCTCCCCCTTCCCTCTCTAAAATAAATAAATAAATAAAATCTTTTTAAAAAAAGTTATGCATACCTTCTGGCTCCATTCTGGCTGAAAGAGTAGTCTGTTGTTACTAATACACAAAATACCTGTTTTTGCATATCAGGTATAAAGCTGGCCTGCAAAATAAATCTCAATGGTCCTGCTCCATGTGTCCCTTCCCCCAGCTAGGCCTATTATCCTGTATTCCTAGACACTCCAGGTTCTGGACCCTGTTATAAATTGACAACACATTGTCTCTCAACAAAACTTCAGGATCAGAATTAAATGCTCACAATATAAGATGCGACCATAATCACACAAATGGGTGTAGATTCGAATGACCCCAAAAGTCAGTGGACCTCAGAATCTCTCGACTCCATAGACTCTCTACCACAGAATTCACTGCTAGAGTTATCAACACACAATCATACAAAGCAACTCCTCCCTTTTCTGACTGCCGCCAGAAATTTGAGGCTCAGGCTGGCCGGTCTGGACCCGCCAGCAGGCCTGACTTTCCCCACAACCTTTATCCCGCTGAAGTCCGGTCCTAGGTGCAGCCCACATCAGACGGAACTAAACCGACTGAGTGGTGCTCCCTTGTTGAACCAGGTACCGTAACCCCAGGAACCTGAAGATTGTGTTAAAGTGCTTTTTTGCAGATACGGATTTGTGCCGCTAAGGCTTCTGGGGAATGTAGTCCGGTGCAGGAAAGCTGTGGACCTTTTCAGATTCTTTTCAGCACAAAGTGGCACTCCCACGGACTCCGAGTGCCGGGATCAAAGGAAGCTGCTTCCTTGAAACTTAAACCGAGCTTCCTCTGCAGATCTGGGGCCCCTTAAACACCGCTGTTGGTTTTTGACAGTATATGCAAACGGAAAAGACAGTCCAGCCTGGGTGAGCCGCGGAGGGGTGTGGGAAGTGTCGTCCAGCTTCTAACCACCCGAGGCTCGTGCTGCCCCCAGCCGCAGCCCTCACTGACCATTGTGGAGTATCCCTGCAGCACCACGCACCAGCTGTGCCACTTGGACGGCGTTGAGATGTGGAACTGGGGCCTTTGTCTGCGGGCCCGGTGGTGAGTCCTCGGGCAGCTGCGAGCTCGGAGGCCGGGACTTGGTGCTGGATGGGAGTAGGGGCCTGCGTACCGTTGCCAGTGTTGTTGGAGGAGGATGCCCTGCAGGGCTTTGCCCGTGCGGGTGGTTCCCTGAGGCCGCGTGAGTGGCGTGTTGAAGACAGCGCGTGGCACGATGTTACTGTATTTGCCAGATATTTGTGACAAAGTGTGGCCGTGGGGTCGTGTGTATAAGCGATTTTGGTGGATGTGATTTTCCTTTTATGCTTCAATATGAAGGCGCGTGAGCGCGTGCTTGACTGTGCTGGGGTCGGTGAGTGAACGAGAAACTACGTGGATGGAAGGTAGAGTACAGTTGTGTATGTAGATTTGGGAGATTGTGTCAGTGTTTTATTTCTTTGGTAATGGTATAAGAAATATGTTTTCATATGAGACGTCAATAGCCCTAATACTTTAAGATTTAAATTGTATTTTTGTGTATTAGTCACGTTGTTTTATGGCATACTAACTTCACGCTCCTTTTCCCTGACTCTCTGCCCTAAATTGCAATATACAGAGAGTTGCCAATAAACACCAGTGCTTATAGTGCACTTTACTGATTTTGGGGTCGTGAGGTGGTACAGGTTCCTAGAGGCGGAACTGATAGGTCAAAATGTATGCTCTTATTAACGGCTCCCTAAATCTATCCAGTTATAATCGTCTAAGTTTCCAATAACCTGCAGTATTATTGCCATTGTATAAGATTGCATGTATTCATACACTCTTGATAACAATGGATATCATTAATATTAGTAATCTTTGTAAAAATTGAATAAATGCTGGAGGCATGATACAGTAAATTTTGGATAAAGAGTTCCTTAGAGTCTGGTTTGGATGCCATCAAAATTGGATGCCACAGACAGACAGTTTTTGTGTGCTGGTCACTCAGATACTTAATGCATTTTCACCAAATACATTCCATGTGAACTGCGTTTTGGAGGACCCTGGGGATATAGTAGAGAACAAGGCAGAAAGTGGTCCTGCTCTCACGGCTCAGAGTGTAGTGTGGTGCAGAGGGCCTGCAGTGGTGAGAGGGCCACGAAATACTTGCAGTGTCCCTACGTTTTAAGGATCAAAGTTCAGCTCTAAAGAATGACAAAACCATGTTGAATTGATCCAGACAGTGTCCTCAGAAGCACGTTAAGAACTGCCATGTCATTAGATGTTATTGACACATTAGACCCACTTGCCTGTTTTCCACTTAATAGTCTTAGTAATAAATGAAAAAATCACTGAAATTTCAGGTACCCATTTGAGTATGGGGAAGCTTCCTGGAATGAAGAATCAGGAGGGAGACTCTGAGAGAACAGTCTTCGCACAAACACTTCTTGCTCAAAATTGTTTTGCACTGAACATTTTACAAGAAGAGTTTTCTTATTATATTCTCCTTAGCTTTCTGGAGTAAAATCAGCTGGCTGAGAATCATTAGAAAAGTACTAAGCCTTTTCAAACCTAAAGTAAAAAGTTTTATTGAAACTTTAAAAAAATTCTACCCATATATCTGTAACTATCTTTCTACCTAAGAAGTTAATGCATAGTTCAGATGCTTTATAACTAACTTTACAGTCTCTAAAAATATGGATAAGTCAAACCAAATGTCATATTCTAATACCTGTTACAAATAAACACACACAAAAAGATTAGTTTGTTAACCTCGTAGATGTAAAATAATTTCTTTAATTTGCAGTTATTTGATTACTACTGAAGGCAAGCATTAAATGTATTTTTTATGAATTTTGTTTTCTAAAGTGATGTTCTATTTTCAAATTTATTTTTCAAAGTTCTTAATGTATTAAGGACTCATTCATTCATTCACTTACTCCACCATTTATTGAATGATGTATGTGGGTCAGGAACAATTCTAGATGCTTGGGATGTAGCATTGAACAAAGGAGACAAACTGCCTGCTGTTATGGTACTTACATGGTTAAGGGCCAGATAGTAAGTGAGGTAAATTAAATATAACATACATTAAATTCTGAAAAATACTAAGATAAAATATAAAGCAGAAAGATAAATAGAATTAGGAATGGGAGTTGGAGTTTTAGGATGGGGTAGGAATCTTAAAATGTATAAATAAAAATATGAAGGACGTAAAGGAACGAGGTATGTGTGTAGTTGAGGGTAGGTTATTCCAGGCAGAGTTAACAACAGTTATAAAGCCCAGAGGTGGTAACATGCAGTTAAAATGAAGAAGCTGGTGTGACTGAAACAGAACAAATGAGAGGGTGAGTGGTGAGAGATGAGAGAAAAATGATAAGTAGAAGGAAGTAGGGCAGATCAGGTTGGGCCTTATGGGCTATATTAATGATTTTGGCTTTTAATCTTAATGAGATGGGAAGCTGTTGGAGAGTTTTGAACATGGGAGTGATATTACCTGCAAATAATTTAAGATGATTGCTTTGGCTGCTCTGATGAGAGGACTATGGGAAGAAGAATGGAGAAAGGGCAGAAGTGGAGAGACCAATTCAGAAACTATTGCAAGAACTAGGGGAAAGATGTTGGTGACCTGGACCAGAGAAGTAAAAATGATGAGAAGTAATCATGTACTATATAAAACTTGAAGACAAAGCTGATACAATTGCTGATAAAACCGATGTGGAATGTAAGTGTGACAAGATGTCACAGTATTTTTTTTAGCTGAACAACTTGAAGAATAGAGTTATCATTAGCTGAGAAAGGAAAGAAAAAAGGAAAAACTGGCTTGCAGCTTAGGGAGATAGTGAGATTTTAGTTTATTATGTGAGGTGGGAGGTACCTATTAGACATTCAGTTGGAGGTACTAAGTTTGCAGTGAGATACACAAGTCTGAATTTCAAAAGAAAGATCTAAGATCTAGGTTGGAGACATACATTTGGGAATTATTAGCATATAGATGATATTTATTTATTTAAAAATTTTTTATTGTTTTTCAGTTACAATTGTCCTAGTTTTCCTCCCAGTTGCTCTCCCCTGCCCTGCGTCTCCTCAGTCAGTCCCTAGGCTGTTCTACATTACTATGGGTCCTTTGTACACATTACTTGACTAGACCCTTCCCTTTCTTTCCCCTGTTACCCTTTTATTCCCTCCCCTCTTTTCACTGTCAGTTCTTTATTTCCAAGTCTCTGGTTCTGTTTTGCTCTTTTGTTTGTTTTGTTCATTAGGTTCCACTTATAGGTAAGATCATATGGTATTTGTCTTTCACCACCTGGTTTATTTCATTTACTAGAATACTCTCCAGTTTCATCCATGCTGTTGTAAAGGGTAGGAGCTCCTTCATTCTTTTTGCTGCATAGTATTCCATTGTGTAAACGGTCCACAGTTTTTTGATCCACTCATTTACTGATAAACACTTAGATTGCTTCTAGCACTTGGCTATTAAAATTGCGCTGCTATGAAATTTGGGGTGCATAGGTTCTTTTGAATTAGCGTTTCAGGGCTCTTAGGGTATAATCCCAGCAGAAGGATCACTGGATCGAAAGGCACTTCCATTTGTAGTTTTCTGAGGAAATTCCATACTGTTTTCCACAGTGGCTGCACCAGTCTGCATTCCTACCAACAGTGCACTACAGCCTCACCAGCACTTGTTCTTTGTTGATTTATTAATGATGGCCATTCTGAAGGGGTGAAAGGGTATCTCATTGTGGTTTTAATTTGCATCTTTGTGAAGGCTAGTGATGTTGCACATTCTTTCATATGTCTTTGTGCCCACTGTATGTCCTCCTTCAGGTCCTTTGCACATTTTTAAAAAAGATTTTATTTAATTTTAGAGAGAGGGGAAGGGAAGCAGGAAGAGAGGGAGAGAAATATCAATGTGTGGTTGCCTCTCATGTGGCCCCCACTGCAGACCTGGCCTGTAACCTGGGCATGTACCCTGACTAGGAATCCAACTGAGGACCTTTGGTCCTCAGCCCATGCTCAATCCACTGAGCTACACCAGCCAGGACCCTTTGCACATTTTTTAATTGAATTGTTTGTCTTTCTGCTGTTGAGTGATATGAGTTCTTTATATATTTTGGAGATCAAATCCTTGTCTGAGGTATCATTGGCAAATATGTTTTCTCATACAATTTGTTCCCTTTTAATTTTGCTGATGTTTTCTTTAATTGTGCAGAAGCTTTTTAATTTGATGTAGTCCCATTTGTTTATTCTTTCCTTTATGTCCCTTGCTCTAGGAGATACATCAGTGAAGCTATTTCTGTGTAGGATATCTGATATTTTACTGATTATGTTTTCTTTTAGGACTTTTATGGTGTCACAACTTATATTTAAGTCTTTTATCCATCTTGAATTTATTTTTGTGTATGTTGTAAGTTTGCAGTCTAGTTTCATCTTTTTTCATGTACCCACCAGCTCTCCCAGAACAGTTTGTTGAAGAGGCTATTTTTACTCTATTTTATGCTCCTGCCCCCTTTGTCAAATATTAATTGACCATAGAGACTTGGGTTTATTTCTGGGGTCTCTATTCCATTAGAGCAGACACATCTGTTCCATTGATGTATGTGTCTGTTCTTATGCCAGTACCAGATGTTTTGATTACAGTGGCCTTGTGATATTGTTTGATATTGGGTATTGTGATCACTCCTACTTTGCACTTCTTTCTCAAAATTGCCAAGCTTTCGGGGTCATTTATGGTTCCATGTGAATTTTTGAAATATTTGCTCTGTATCTGTGAAATATGTCAGTCATATTTTAGTAGAGATTGTTTTGAATCTAGAAATTGCTTTGGATAGTATGGATGTTATGATGATGTTAATTCTTCCAGTCCATGACCATGGTATATGCCTCCATTTATTTGTGCCTTCCTTAATTTCTTTCTTCAGTGTCGTGTAGTTTTCCGAGTATAGGTCTTTTACCTTCTTGGTTAGGTTTATTCCTAGGTGGTTTATTTTTCCTGTTGCTATAGCAAATGGGATATTTTTCCTAATATCTGTTTTTGGTATTTGATTGTTGGTGTACAAAAATGCTTTCAATTTCTGAATATT